CCCCCCCCCCCCCTTGGTGCCTGCTGAGCAGGGCTCTCGCCCGCTTCCTCTGAAGCGCCGGAGCAGCCAAGTGCTTCCAGATGGAGCTGCCTTTGATTCCAGGCAGCCGGCCGAAGCCTCGTGCTGCTGGCAAAGGGCTCTCTTGCGCCAAGGCCCCCCGCTGCACTGTGGCCAAGGCAGGCGGGCGGGCAGGAAGTGAGCGGCTCCCCCCCCCCACTCCGGAGCAGGAGAGGTCGTGGGAAAGGAGCGCCGGGCAGGCTGCCAGGGCCAAAGTGCCTCTCCGGCACACGAGTCTCCTCCTGGCCTGCCGATAGGCAGCCGGCCAGCAGGCAGCAGCAGTCCCCAAGGACTGCCTGGGCTGCCACCTGGTGCCAGAGGAGGCTGGGGAGCTGCTGCCGTGCCCACCCCACCCACACCCGTGCCGGAGAGGCCCAGGGCTTCCTCCCAGGAGGCAAAGGAGGGCACCCTCCACCGGGGAGGGGCTTGCTTGGGCACAGGGGCTGCAGCTTCCAGCAGGGGGGCATCCGACACGTCTTATCCTCCAAGCTGACCATTGGCTTCCTTGCGTTGCCAATCTCCAGGGGGCACCTGGAGATCTCCAACTATTACCAGGTGACCAAGATCTGTTCCCCTGGAGGAAGTGGCTGCTTTGGGGGGTGGGCTCCTCCCTGGCATTTGTACCCCGCTGAGGTCCCTCCCCAAACCCCACCCTCCCCTGGCTCCACCCCCCAAATCTCCAGGTAGCCCAGTCTAAGGGCCTGCACTCAGGGCACGTCAAGACTGCTGGATATTTGGGGGGGGGGTCAGTCAAGGCTCAAGAGGGGAAGACGGGGGGGAGGGGAACTGGAAAAGTCCAGGAAAACTATTTTCTCTCCGGGGGGAGGGCTTTTTCTGATTGGGGAAAAAATGGAATGGGGGGGGATATTCTGAAAAAGAAGAAGCAGAGTCAGTTTTTATAGCTCACTTTTCTCTCCCTGAAGGGGTCTCTGAGCATCCTGCACTCCCCTTCCCAGCAGAGGCTCCGTGTGAGGCAGGCGGGGCGGAGAGAGCTCTGAGAGGACCGGGACTGGCCCGAGGAGGTCTCCCAGCGCTGGCTTTGCGGGGTGTGTGTGTGTGTGATCAAACCCAGCTCTCCAGATTGGAGTCTGCTGCTCTTAGCCACGACACCCCTCCGACTCTTCTCCTGAGATATTGCTCTTTCACAATGAGTGAAAAGAACTACGTTTCTCCCTTTCTCACCATACAAGAACTCCTCGTGGGCACTCGCTGAAATGGCTGAGCAGCCAGGTTAGAACG